ACCACCAGCCGTTGGGCTGGTAGTCACCACCCAAGCATTAAAGCTTGGTGGCATTAAAAAATTTAGGCGGATGCGTAGTGCATCCGTCTGATCTGGTCTAATAGTGGTTCAGTTTTCTTTGGACTATCTTTGATCCTCTTCACGTTCTCTCCCTTCCCTTATTGTAGAATAGTATATCGTATTGATAAAAAAAGGGAAAAAAAAAGTATTGTCTCATTTTTGCCAGCTAGGATTTCAAAGGAGAGTATTTTCTTGGAATTTGGTCTTCTAGGCTAGACAAGATTTGAGAAAGTGCAATCCATTTGGACTCGTTCCAAGACCCGAAGCAAAGTATAGCCCAGTGGCAAGTGCGAGGCTGGCCCGTATGAATGGAGAGCACGGCCTAGGTTTCATTTTCTACTAGATCATAATCAACGACTCATCTGACCAGATGGTTTTGCTTTAGGTGTCTTCCAGATTTAAACAAATTTCTGAATAATGAGAAACCCATGGTCACTGGAGTCTGCATCATGCTCTTCGAATACAACGCATGGGAGGGGGGGGGGGGGTTCCGTTTACAAGTTACGGGAGGAGACCTTCAAAAACTGCTAGGCAGGCTAAAACTAATTTAAGTCCCCACGAGTAGAGTAAGCACCATAAATTCTACCAACCCTAGATGGCATGATACAACATGGACGCCCTTTGGTACATCATATGGAGCCAACAGCCACAAAAGAAAAACAATTTTCCGCCTGAGCCTTGATCATGGGTTGACTCAAAAAAAAAGAAAGAAAAAAATGCTTTGACTAGTTTGCGTCATCCTTCCATGTTTTTCTCAACGGATCTCGCTCTCATGCTCTGGCATTTGTGGCATGCGATTGGATCGTTCATTAGACATATTTTATTATTTGTAATCAAGAGGCTATAAACACATTATTGATATCAAGCCAGAAGTTTGAGATCCCAAAATTACTCGTAAGAACGTGGACCGCTACCTGTTCCACGTAGGAGAAGACAGGAGAACCAACTCTAGATTACCTTCGTAGCAAAGAACCCACCATCCATCAGACAATAACCGACCTTTTTGAATTATATCAATTGCAAAAGCTTAGTGCACAACTAGATCATGTCATGGTTCAGCAATCTTAGAATTTAGTTATGCTGTTACAAAAATGTTAATTTACATGATTGCCGACCAAATACTATAAAAATGTTCAGCGGGAAATATGGAAAAAATTGATTGCCCCGGCTTCTCCCTTGATGATTGTAGGTACCTAGGATTCTGTCTAATTAGCTCTGCTTTAGGCTCCTATATTCAATAGCTGCCAAGCATAAAATATTCTAGTGGGGCACTTTGAGATTCCATCAATTTTGCAATAGCACTGCGACCTAGTAGTTTCTCATTGCTCTCTCTAATCTCTTCAGACTGGTTAATGAAGTTTTTAAAACACTTTTAACTCATTGCTCATCGTTTTAAGGAGTATCCTATTTTCAAACTAGTTAACAATCTTCACCACTCAACTCATAACCAATTGAGTTTAACTTTTAACTGAGTCGGATGCTTGAGTAATTTCTCTTAGCCAGGTGCATTATGAATCATCATGGTAGAATTAATCACTTGTTATTACTACTTTACACCCTTCCCTTCTCCTCTTATTCACCACTTTTCTTCTGAAAACTAGTTGTAAATGAATACTGCTAGTAAATAATCAAGAGAAGCTGTTAATTAGACCGTATTAGTTCCTAATTTGACTTGATCACCAGCTGGTTTGGCTGACGAAAAAATATGCTCAGTCTGGGTGCTTCTGCCACGTGGCACAGTCCGGAATAAATCTCAGTAGCATGAACGGCAGCGTCGTCAGGCAGTATTAGGTGAATGCTTAACTTAACAACCATTGACCCAAAGCTCAGTGGCCACCGAAAAGGGATCAAGTCCCTTTTTGGAAGTCGGGGGTTCAAACCCCAACTATAGTGAAAAAATTCAATCTGTATTTATGCCTGCTAATTCTTTACACAATCTTTTTAGACTCCTCTTTTTTAGAATAGGATATATTAGATTGTAGGGATGTTATTGTTGTCGGAAAAAAAATGTTTAACTTAACATGTTTTTTGGGGTTGAAAAAATGTGTGCATTAACAAAAGAGCTTTGTGTTTTTTTTAGTAATTTGCAACCTTAAAAATTGTTTCAATCGATTCACACTGGCTGGCAGGCATTGAGTTTTCCACTACAGAACTAGTGTGGGATGATTAGTTAGTAAATGTCGTTTAAAAAAATTGTAGCAATTCGGTTCCTGCAAGTATTTTAAGGCTCAAACTTGTAGGCTTATATGCAGATTTCGTAGGTATGTCAATGAAAGGGGAGTAAAATAGTTGCAGTAGGTTCAAGAAATGAAGAATTATATATTGTTGTGATTTTAACAACTCATTAGAATATGTGCAGCTGGACCCGGTTTTCATTTATATTTTGAGACAAGATACCTGAATTCTGAATTGCAAGGGAACCGCGTGGAGACAGCAAACTAAGGTATAATAAAGGGGGTTGTAAGGAAAGCAAACGAGTGATCAATGCTCGTTATGTATGGGAATCCTCCAAAAACAAGGAAATGTAAGAAAAACATAAAATTAGGCTGGAAAAGAATGGATCCTGAGGTCAAATGGCATCTCTTTCACTTTGCTTTCATTTGCCAAAAAAGTCATCCGCCATAAAATTAGACTGGTAAAGAATGCGTCAAAGAAAAGGAAATGTAAAAGAAAAACATCCCTCCAATCTTTCAAGCACGGAAAAAGAATGCGTCAAAGACAAGGAAATGTAAAAAAACATTTCGTATTTTTTTATCGTCAACAAATTATTACTTAAATTGACAGTAAGGTTAATGGTAGCATTAATTCTAGTGCTATATATTGTCCACATCAGGATTAATTTTCTTGAACTAAGAATTCTTAATTACGAATACTTAACCCCAACCTACCCCCCCCCCCACCTTCCCCCAAGAGAATAAAAAAAAAGAGGACTTGTGTGAATTGATGTGATATTTTCTTCGTTTTTAAATAGTTTTACTTTCTTGATCGATGTTCTTGAATTGTCACAGACTTTGGAGATCAAACTCAAATTAACGAATTTTAATTTGCTTAATAGAATTCAGAAGTGTAGACGTTAACGCTAACTCAAGGACCACTGCGTTGTATGTTGAAAATATAAGGGACGATTGTCTTGGCGTGCAGGCATATGTGTATATTCCTCTCCACATTGATTAGTGCTAATGGATTGATGGAGACTAAACCACCAATGGATCAGTCGAATGCACTACGTACTCATCCAGCATTATTACTACGCACTCATCTAGATTTTTTAAAGAAACCACATATTGTGACACTTGCTTGATTGATGGTGGCCACCAGACTTTGGGCTGATCGTTTACTTCTTCTCCTCAATGAGTAGTAAGAAGATTACGGTCCTGCGGGGAAGAAATTTAGTAAGAGTTAGCAAAGAAAAGGAACGGAAATTAGCACAGGTGAAAGGAGAGAATCCAATCCGTTTTATTTTATAATGTCCTTATCAATCAATTTTGTTTTGTAATGTCCTTATCAATCAAATTTATTTTGTTCACTTCTAAATTCAAGTTTATTTGTAATAATTTTATTAAAGGATGATGCCGGGGGGTTTCATCGGTTTGTAAAAGACAGTTTAGCTTACGTTAATGCAATTATCTTTCCTCCAAAAAAAAGAAGAAGAGGGAGCTATCCTATCTATCTATCTATCTATGGTCCTACCAAAAAATGAAAGATAAATGAATGACCGGGCCGTGAGGTGAGACCGCACTGCAGATTGGAAACTGGGTTCGTGACAGATGTATGTATGTATATACATACACATTTGCCATTGTGAAGTTGGGAGGTCCTGCAGCTCGCCTGGCTTTGAAATGCAAAAGTCTTCACTGGCCGTCCGGGTTGAGTGAGCCCTCTTTAGAACTTAGTAGCAGCTCGCCTGTTTAGGCTAGTTATCCCACATCGATGAGTTGGAGGGGGGGGGGTTTGGGTAGTTGATAAGTTTCCTCAGGAACTTCAAGAGTTGCCAGCTTTTGAGGTTTTCTGTGAATTTAGGTTTGTCAAATGCAAAAGTCTTCACTGGCTTTGAAAAAAAAGACAACTAGCCGTCCGGGTTGAGTGAGCCCTCTTGAGGACTTAGTAGCAGCTCGCCTGCTTAGGCTAGTTATCCCACATCGATGAGTTGGGGGAGGTTTGGGTAGTTGATAAGTCTCCTAAGGAACCTCAAGAGTTGCCGACTTTTTTTAGGTTTCTCAAATGCAAAAGTTTCACTGGCTTTGAAAAAAAAAAAAGTTGGGAGGTCCTGCGGGCCTATTATTATGTATAGCTTGAATACTAGTAATCAATAGACAGGACAGGAGGATTGGGGGGAAGGAAAGAGGACTCTGCCCTGCAAGTCTGCAACTTCCCAAACTCCCACGGAAATCTTTGCTTGCTCTAAATAATGAATGGTGTATGAATCAACTCTGGCCCAAACTCTCATGTTTTGTTTTGATTGATTCCTCATAATTGCAGAAGTTTATTGAATTCTTTGAGAGCTGAATGAATTGCTCAGATATTTAGATAAAATAATTGTTGAAGAATTACTACTGTGAATGATTTGTGCTCGTCTTCTTAATTCTTCCCCATATAACATAACATGAATTTTCTGTCGTCCAATGTTTGATTTGATGCGATGAGATTGCCTACCCAACAAAAAAAAGAAGACCAGATCCGAGTTAGCCGCTAGCTAATGTGCCAACGTACACAAACAAAACATCACCAGCAATTGTAGTAGTAATTTGTGGCGTAGCAGGCCCAAATTCCAATACCTATTCTCATTTAGTATGAAATTACAACCTTAATACTGTAATTATTAAACCTAACCCTCCCATTCGCTGTAACTTACTATTTTTTATTCCCGCAAAGTAAAAAATAGAGATCATAACCATTTATTTACCTACAAATTAGTTAGTTAAAGAGAACAACGAGAATGCCTCTCGGAAAACATATATATTTATTATTGTCTCATTATCAAACTCTTTTTGGAGAGAAGACTATACAAAACATATTTATCAACGTATATCCTTTTTTCCCCCCTCGTAAATATATAAGTTTTTTTTTTTTGTTTTGTTTTTCACTCCTGTACATTTGAGAACCTCTCCTACCAAACCCGCCAGGGTTAAAACCAGAAAGGCAGAAAAAGGATTTAAAAAAAAAAAAAAAAAAAAGGTTCGCTAAAGCACTATAAAGTAGTACTACTGCTAAAAACCTGAGTCCTATAAAGTCATCGGCGAGTACTCGCCGTAGAAATCGGAAATCCCGGAAGCCAACCAAAGCCTTTCGTTGAAAGCGTCCTGCATATCTTCCGGGATAAAAGCCGTCCGGCAGAGCGGACACGTCTTCTGATCGTGGTCCATCCAACGGTCCAGACAGCTCCTATGAAATATGTGCCGACAGTTCGTCAGCCGTCGGATCTCATCGTCATCTTCGAACTCGTACAAACAAACAGCGCAGCACTCCGGAGCAGCCAAGTCGCTTATCTCTGAGAACTTCACCACAGGTAATAACTCCCGGATTAAGGAAGCGGATATGGACCTCGGCTCGCCTCCGGATTCGGGCCAGGTCTGGAGCGGCATTTCGGGTTCCAGAAAATCTCCGAGACCCAGAATTGAAAGAAGGACGTAGATGAATTTTCGCATTAAGCCCAGAATCGTGAGAATGTGGATCAGAAGTTTGGGGAAGAATACGTCTGTGCAACCTACTGGGAAACCCATTGGTGCGGTATGGTGTGTTCAAGAGTTGCTGTGTGTGCGTGGGTGTGTAGTGTGTGTTTTTTCTGAAGAGGAAGAGATGATGGGTATTTCTTTCGTATTGCTACTTCTTCATGGATGAAAGGAAAGATGAAGGCCGGGGGAAGGAGAAGGAAGTTGTTGGGTCGTTTTATAGGGGGGGGTGAAGAAAGGGGGAGCTGTTTTTTGTGGGTGGGTGGTATGTGTGGGACTGTGGGGGAGATGGGTTTTGGTAGTGAAATGGCGGAATAGGGCATGGGTTTTGGTGGGAATAGCGGAAGAGGTATACAGGGTGAGAGACAGAGCGTGTCTGTATTCGGTGCATTAGCAGCAGTGGAATGTGTCGTACGGTCTGGGATGTATTAGGACATTTATTTTATTGGAAAATAATTTTTATTCCTCTCAATTAATACAGTTCCAATTTTGTTCTTTTTAATTATGGACTTTCTCTTCTTCTCATTTTTTTTTTTATAAGGATTACTCTTTACTACACTATCAAAATGTATACCCTGTACATTGACACTGACGGGGTTGAATGAATGACATATGATCTAATTTAAATTTAAACATCAAATTTAGCATATATGACATGCATTTAAACCCGATAGTATATACATTGTTAGTATATAAAAAGATTTACTCTTTTTTTTTTAATAGTGTTTAGATTTCTGTTCAGATTTGTTAAACTGAAAATTGAGTGTACTAACGCGTGTCCATGAAGCACCTGTTAGAACACTGTATTATTTAAGAAACGTATACAAGAATAAGAAAACAATTCAGAAGGAGATTTCTGAGTTAATTGGATGTAAACCTTTTTTCTCCGCGTAAAGCTAAGTTGTCTAATACAAATCCACAAAGTTAGAGAATGAGAAAGAATTATTGATTTTTGTTCCATAAATAAGAGGTAGTAATATGTTATTCTATAATATTCTTTTCCACGATTAAGCTATTAATCCATATGTTGGAGCACAACATGATTATAGATTATTACATAAATGCATGTGCAATACGTTAAATTTTCGCTTTTACTAGTTTCCATGCATTTAATCATGCGGTATACAAAGAGTAATCCTGTTCATCATCTAGCTTCTGTTTTATATATATGTATATTTCCTAGCTTCTGTTTTCAGGTAAATTAGTTTTTTTTTAAAAAAAAACAAAATAGTTTTAACTAATTAAAAGGTTCAGCGAAAAATCAAGCATAATTGTGTAGTTTAATCTCATGTACAAGAACTCGCTGGCTATCAATTGTTTGGATAGCAAATTTTTTTCTAAAAAATTTTCCGCTATGTTTCATAAACACATTTCTCAATTCACCATTTTGTATTTTCAACCATCTTTTTATCTCACACACATCACATCATAAAAAGTGCTACAGTAATTATTCCAAATAATTATTTGGAATAATGCTCTATCCAAACAAAAATGATCTTCTCTGGCTGTACTGTACATCTTGTGTAATAGTTTTGGCTGCCCTTCCATCTTAGATTGGCCAATAAAATTGCGCATTGTCCATCGTGAGGTGAGACCGGAAAATGTATATACGTATCATTTGAATTTCAAAATATTCCCTCATTAAATGTGCATTGAAATTTTCAAAAATTTTTTTTTCAAAAAACAAGATTGAAAAGTACGCATTAAATTTGAAATGAAAATTTTTATTTCAGAACGTTGATAAAGTGAAAACATGATATTGACAACGATACGGAAGGGATACGTAAAATCACACGACTGATATTTTGTCTCAATTTTGTAGGCAAAGGCAAGGGTTTTGGTAAACCATACATCTCTTTCAATTCTCATTTATGTGCCACTTGTGTTTGTTTCCGCATGGCTAGCCTTGGCCCGATTGAACGCAGCCAAAATTCTCAAATGGCTTGGGTAATTAAATCAAGACGTTGACGTCAAAAGCCATTAATTAGCGAAACAAATTACAGAGTTGCAACTTGCAAGTTGCTCAGCCGCGTGATCACTCCGTTTAGCTTTTACAGGCAGTAATTAGGGAGCGGAGGAGCTCGCACGTCAACGGTGAACCCGTTTGGCTTCTATCATCAGTCACCATCAAAGTTGCCGATGAGGCCCTGCAAATGTGATTCGTCCTTGTTGGAATTGATATACTTAACCAACCGCTGCCTCAGCAAGAGGGAAAAAGAAAATATGACATGTCTATTGTCCACCGTCTATCGTCTAGTCACGTGCTATCATTTATAGCTTCATGAGTTTTAAATGACTGTGCATAATTTGGGTCAATTCTAATCATATGCTTTGTGGGTTGCGGATGGTTACCGCCAAAATTTAATCATTAGCCCTTTTTTCTCGTATATAAGTAAATTATTGTCAAATTTTGGGGAAAGGAATTGTGAAAAGTAAAATTTTTACCCTTTTGATAAAATTATTACTAACTTTTTTCTAAGGTTGAATTTTCATGAATTTCAAGTTCTATATTCAAATCATTTTTTTTCCTCCCCGCTTCTTAAATATCATCTTTTCTCTGTTTAAAAAGAAAAGTAGAAAAAAAATTACTAACTTTTAATCAAATGCAAACTTGTAAATAATGGCCATAATCGCGGAAGATTTGGACACCATAAGAGGAAAACAAACTGAAAGGCCCCAATTTTGAAGAAAAGGTGACCTCCTGAAAAATGGAGAAAGAAAGAGAAGGAAAGTGTATAAAAGGGATCACTAGTCTGGGGGTCAATCATGAAGTATCGAGGACCAAAAGTAAAAAGTCACCGAAAATTGCAATGTCTCGCACACTGGCGGAGCAAAAAAAAAATTTAGTGGAAGTAAAAGTAATACTAAAATTTTGTACCTACCTTTTTTTTTTTAGATTTTTAAGGAAAAAAATATTCACAAATAAGTTAAAATGAAAAGGCTTTTTTTGAATTTACGTTAAATGGAATTTTGTAACTCATATATCATTTTAAAATATTAGTTTATGAACCAACTTAAAAGGTCACGTAATTCTTTCACTTCCTTCGTAAGAAAACTCCGGAAACACACTTGAAATTATATCAAAATTGTATGGATACTGTAAGAATTTAAGGGGGAGCAGTGGGGACCCGTACCCCCACCTTAAATCCGCCGCTGGTCCCGCTGCATCAAAATTCAAATGGGAACTAAGCCCCAATCGGTTGAAGCTTCTGAGAGGAAAAGAAAAGAAAAGAAAATAAGCATACAAAGGAAGAAATGAAATGTATGGAAGTTAAATTTGGGAAAAAGAGAAAGAAAAGAGCACAACATCCTCTAGAAATTCAAGAAAAACAAACCCAAGAGGCGCTAAGACACTAACAATTCACAAGAAAAAAATAAGTTAGGTACCAACACTGTACAATATGCACGATGTGGAGGCCAATTGTACCAGGAGTCATCCTTAAGACCCCTTATCCAAGAGACCAGGGATCGAATCTTGAGAAAACTCCCCTTCCTAACACTATCATTTTTTCAACAGCCTGAATCAGACTTTTGTTGTTTTATAAACCTAATCCCAGAATTAACCTCAAAAGCCGGCTCCTAACACTATCATGACCCTAACTTAAGACGGTGTTGAGACGGACAAATACATAATTGGCCTCCACACACATGTCTGATATTTGATGCAGTGGCCCATCGGGGACTGATTGTTTCACCTTCATCTTAACGGGGGTGTCACTTCTGTTTCATCTTAATGGAGGTGTCACTTCCGTATCCATCCTTTGGCCATACGGTCTTTATTAAGATTGAAAATTCAGGGCACCAAGTGTTTTTTTTTCTTTTGGGGCCCCCGGTGGGGGGGGGGGGGATGGGGTTACTATAATGAGCACGCTTCTAGTCATTGACTCTATGAAAGTTTGGGGTATTAGTAGCATTTTCAAAATGATGACTTTAGTAGATGACATGAGAATCAATAAAGATGCTAAAGAATTCGTTAAATAACTAGCAAGTGATTGTCACCCTCCCAAACAAAAGGGCAGAAGAATTTTAGCCCAAGGTGCCTCAAATATGTACCAGCAAATCCACACACGAATTCTACGTTCGTCATGGTTTTCGTTTCATGCTAAATGGAGTGCGTAAGCCATGATAGAGGTAGCCGCCATGTACCTAAAACTAGACTACTCGCTGTCTTCTCACGTACGTTTAAGATTAGTCTACAGGGGAGGGTTTATCGTGTATGAATTTTCGATGCGTGCGTAAAACTTTGAGTAACGAAGAAAATGGCTTTAGGTAGACCTTCAGTTTTTGGGCTCTAGCTAGTTGTATCATTAATGTATTTTACTAATGACCATATGGCAAGGTTTCTTAGATACAAACTAAGGCTGGAAACGAAACAAGGAGAAAGAAGAAGAGGGAAAAGGGTGCGTAAGTCGGCCCGGCCAACCAGCCAAAGAGCAGGGGTGGCAATTTTCGACACGACCTAAAAACACGACACGAACCTAACACGAAATTAATGGGTTTGGGTTGAGGTTTTGAGAATTCGGGTCAGAATCGGGTTGGACCCGATGAACCCGAAAAGAAAACAGGTCGATTTCAGGTCAACCCGTGATGACCTGATATGACCCGATATGACCCGTTTACGAATTAAAAATAATTTAATAAATATAAAAATAATTTTATCTAACTAACCTAAGTTATTCTTTTTTTCAAAGGCATTAATTACTTAATTATAAATGAATTTATTTAATTTGTGTGAAGTTGAAATTATTATATTTGGACAAATAATATATTATATTATTTTTTACTTTTATACTGTTTTAATTTATTTTATATTTTGTTTGGGATAAAACACTTTTACGGTGTTTAATTTATTTTAGATTTGGTTTGGAATTACTTATTTAAATTTTTATTACTTGATTATGTAATTAGTTTTGTGAGAAATTGATTTTATTAGAAATTACAGTGATAAATTAATAAATTAAAATTAAGTTTCGGGTCATTTCAGGTCGACCCGCCAACCCGTCAACCTAAAATTTTCGGGTTCGGATCAGCATACCTGACCCTTCACGAGTTGGCGGGTCGGATTCGAGTCAACAGATTTTCTGACGAATTGATCCGAACCCGACCCGCCAATCTGATTTGGACCCGAATTACCACCCCTACCAAAGAGGACGGCAAGGATGAGGCGTGGAAGTTTATGAGCCTAATTAAATAAGTCGCATGGTAGGGTTGGGGGGAGCTG